GAGGAGGAGGAGGTGGAGGAGAGGAGGCGGAATGAGGGAGGAGGGAGAAGGAGAGGTGGAAGAGGAGGAGGAGGAGGACGAGGAGGAGGCGGGAAGAGGGAGAAGGGAGAAGGGATGAGGGAGAGGAGGAGGAGGGGAGGAGGGGGGATCGGGATAGGGGGCGAAGAGCGAGGAACGAGAACCGCCGCCGCCGCCGCCCGCTCGTCGCTCAAATCGCGCTAGGGGGGGGGGCGCCAGTTGCCGCTGTCGGGCTCCTCGCCGCCACCCTCGGCCTTGCGGGGGAGATGCGCGGCGCGAGAGCGGCGGGCATGGCACCCCTCCTCCCTCCTCCCTCCCTCATCACTCATCCCTCATCTCTCCCATCCTCCCTTCCGCCTCCCTTCTCCCTCCTCCCTCCTCCCCTCCTCCCCTCCTCCCCTCCTCCCTCCTCCCGCTGCTCCGCCAGCTGCGGTGAGGCTCGGGGGAGCCGTGGCAGCGCGCGCAGGGCTGGGGCGACGACCACTTCGGGGCGGCGCACCGCAGGCGGGGCCCCCGCATTCCAAGCCGCTCACGCCCCTGGAGAAACCAAAAGGCACCGATACCGCTACTCCCCGGACCTCTCCCGGGGTGCGTTCTGACCAGGACTTCGAGGCGAATCCAGTGGTGGCGACGAGGGCCTCCCAGAAGGCCCAAACAGGGGAAAACGGGCGCAAGGTAGCGGTGTGGGTACCGCTTGTCCTCCTCTGAGCCCCCGCCCACCTTCGGGCCAGGGATGCTGGGCCCGACGCCGCCGGCTGGGGCGGGGCCGCTCGGGGCGCCGGGCGCTCGGGTGGGGGTGCGCGCGCGGGGCGCGGAGCCGGGCGGCGCAACGGGGCGGCCCAGGCCCCCGGTGATGCAGACGCCGCCTGGGCGCCCCGCTGGCGGGGGGCGCGCCCCTGGGCGGGGGCCCGCCGCAGGCAGGCGCCACAGGCCCCGCCCGCTGCACCCACGGTGCCTGGCCGCTGGCCTGGCCTGCGTCCCCGGGCGCGGCGCCGCCGGCGCGGGCGGATGGCGTGCCCGCCCCGGCCGCGGCCGCGGCTCGAGCAGGAGGCCGCGGCCCCGGCGGCGGCCGCGGAGCAGGAGGCCAACGTCGACGCGGTCGCCGCCCACGTGGCAGGCGAAGCAGGGGGGGGGGGGGGCAGAGAGCGGGGGGGGGTCAGAAATGGTCGCGCGGGAGGCGGCGATCGCCGCCGTCGGCGAGGCCGACGCGGAGGCCCGGGAGGGGGGCACGAAGGCGCTCCTGGACGCCGTGCGCGCCGACACCGAGGCGACCGAGCTCACAGCGGGCACCATGCCGCAGGCCATGGTCGGGCCCTTGGCCGCGCTGATCGGGCCTGCCCCGCCCGCGGAGGCCGCCCCCCCCGCGCGCGGTCGGTGCGGGGAGCCGGCCCACCGCGGCAGCCCAACCGGGCCAAGAGAGGAGGAGGAGGAGGAGGAGGAGGAGGAGGAGGAGGAGGTGGAGGAAGAGGAGGAGGAGGAGGAAGGAGGAAGGAGAGAGGACGAGGACGAAGGCAAGGAGGAGGAGTAGGAGGAGGAGGAGGAGGCGGAGGAGGAGGAGGACGACGACGAGGCGGAGGAGGAGGAGGAGGAGGAGGAGGAGGAGGAGGGGGAGGAGGAGGAAGTCCGTTTCCGACGGCAACTGCCGCGTGCCGAGACGCCCGTGTGTCGAAGTCACCCGCGCGCTTCTTTCAGCGGGGCGGACGGGCTGGTAAAACCACCATGACCAGAACTGGGGGAGCTTGGGATCAGGGCTGGAGGGGACTTGGGGAGGGGCATCCCCTCAGCCAGCCGCCCATATCGCAATCGCCACTGCTTCGCCCAAGCTCAATGCTCGCGCTGCGGCGCAAACCAACCCCGTCTCCTTAACCACAGCCACCCTCAGCGAGAACACCACCCTTGATGGCTCACTTTCAGCCAGAGCCACCCTCAGCGAGAAGACTAACGCTGACGACTTACTTTCAGAGGAGCCACACTCAGTAGGAGCACCACCGATGACAGCTGACCTTTACCTGCGGCTCACCAGCGAAAACACCACCGCTGGCAGCCGCACCAAGCCTCTCCCTTCCCGCGCTCTTCATGCAGTCTCGCCTTCCTCCCCCGTCCTCTCCCTTGGCGCGCGCCCGTGGCACGGGCACACGCCCCATGTGGGGGGCCAGGCAGACGGCGGGGAGTGAGGATCGGATCCACGGTAATGGGCGGGCGGAGAATCCCAGGTCGAGGATCGATCGAACGCGGCGGGGTAAAGATCCGCCACCGTGCCTCTGGCACGAACTGGAGTGCCCTGAGGCTCGCAGCCGCGCTGCTGCTGCAGCCAGCCAGGATTGCAAGTTCCACTGCACCGACCTTGCAGACATGCTGCAGCGAACTTCTGCGTGGACTTCTGCCAGTGCAGAACCCCGCAACGGCGGGCGAATACCGAAGTGCATGTCACGTGGATTTGTACCAGTCTTCACTCCTAACAAAAACAGATCCGCACGAAATTCGCCTCGAAATCCGGAGCGAGATTTTACAGGACCCTCCAGGCCCATCCTGCCGTTTTCCGAGCGATATCCGCTCTGCGATGTTGGCGCCATGCTTCGGGGATGGACAGAACCCCTTTTTCGTAAAACGTTCGTTCGTTCGTTCGTTCGCAAGCCATGTCGCACGACACATCGGTTCGGCAGGGGAAAATCCTTGCCGCGCAGGATCAGCGGCAATCGTATATTACACCTAAGCAAATATGGGGTCAACGGAAAGGCCATATTGTTTGACAATTGTTTTCCAGATTGGCTGTTTATGCGCTGCAAAACGAGGGTGCCTGCACAATGCACTTAAAGTTTCGTCCGAAGGGAAACGACCTCGGGCCCAAACCTGGCGGGCGCAAGCCTGGAAAATGACGGCCGCGGCGCCCTCTCGAGAACCGAAAACGGACAATTCGCTAATCGACGTGTCAGGGTGGGGGTCTGTCCACCCCCGAATGATAAATTGTTTATCCTCTTGCACAGGGTGTCTGGAGCTCCGACCACTTTATTCCGCGTCGCGCACCCCTCCTCCCCCCTCGTCCCCAGCGCCAGAGCGGGACCGACCCCCGCGCCGTGGCTCTCTGCCCCGAGCCTCCCCGCGTCCCCAGCGCCCCAGCGGGGGCCTCGCCCACCGCCCCCTCCGCCACGAACGCTTTATTCCGCGTCGCGCACCCCCCCTCCCCCCGCGTCCCCAGCGCCAGTGGAAACCCCGCGCCGTGGCTCTCTGCCCCGAGCCCCCCCGCGTCCCCAGCGCCCCAGCGGGGGACCCGCCCACTGCCCCCTCCGCCACGAACGTTGCATTCCGCGTCGCCCCCCCCCCCCCCCCCCCCCCCCCCCCCCGCGTCGACAGCGCCAGAGTGGGACCCCCGCGCCGTGGCTCTCTGCCCCGAGCCCCCCCGCGCCCCCAGCGCCCCAGCGGGGGCCCCGCCCAATGCCCCCTCCGCCACGAACGCTTTATTCCGCGTCGCACACACACACACATGGAAGTGCGGTAGAAGCTTATCGATAAGGTAGGTCGCCCTGTGGATCGTACGTGCCATTGGAGCTCCTGGGGTCCGTGAGGTCGTCATTGGGGTATCCGTCTGGGTCCTCAAGGGCCTCGAGAGAGATCGCAGAGCACTCAATACATATGAAGCAACTGTAGTATCATGGAATCGGCACGAGCCCACATGTGTGCGCCGCTCTCATCAGAGCGTTTTCAGCGCTAGCCTAAACCCGTGCCGTGATCGCCTGAAGCATAAACAGCTATGGTAGGATGTGAGATGTGCAGTGAAGCGTACTAAGAGACAGAAACGCTCATGTAACTGCCCGAATTCAATTTACTGAGCTCCCAATTGCAAATATAGCATTGCTATCTTCTGGTCATTCAAACTGCAAGAAAGCACACGCACACACACACACACACACACACACACACACACAGACACACACACACACACACACACACACACACACACACACACACACACACACACAACCGTCCCAAAGACAGGGAGGGCAACAGAAAGAGCAAAGACAAAAAGGATATCTCCGTCGCATGAGGTCGGCAACATCACCTGCTCCCTAAGGTCATGGCTGGGGTTCCTAGCTAGGGATCTTGGGATCATGTAGACTTACAGGAACCAATCCATAAACACGGCCGTGCCCGAGACAATCGCAGCCTGACCTAGGGTCTGCACAACGTGGGTGAGCCCCGTGGGCTTGGCCACATCAGTCTTGTGGAAACTTGTAGAGGCAAGATGGGGCGGGCACAGCCAGCGACTCGCAATGAAATCGAGGCCAAACTTCCCCACCACAAGTGGGAGGACACGGAGCACCTCACCCAGAGCATGTTCGAGGCTGCCAACAGTGAGGGCACGGACATCACTGATGAGAAGGCAGCCCTCAACAGCTAGCCGAATACAAACACAAGAGATGCACAGAAACACAATGCGTGACAACGCGTGACGTGAGAAGAGGGATAAAGGTGAGGGCACACGAGCAAAAGAGCGGGCAGGGATCCTGCCACAATGGCACTCAGCCAGGCAAGGATCAGTGTCGGGGTCTCACTGCAGGAGAATCGTCTGCATGTCCGTCAAACTCCATTCCCCACTATCCATAAGCCTGGCGTACAGCGCCTCACCAATCTTCATCACATGGTTGCAGTTGTCCGCGTCCTGAGCGGGGCAGCCAATGTTCTTGACTTTCACCTTCCACTGCGCCAAACCTTTTGCACGACTGACCTCTTTCCACCACTCGGAGAAGGTAATGCTGGCGTCGGGTGCATTTGCAATCGTGGTACCCGACGTAGTCATATCAGGCCTGCCAGTGCCAACACCGAGGAAACCATGAGTAGCTGCATCCATCTGCTGGTCGAAGCAGGGCACTCCGAGGGCGCCATCACGCGCAGGAGAGCCACCTGGGGAACCATGGTCACCGCCCATCGCACCAGCCCCCGCGGCCGGCGGCGTGGGGCTCGGCAAGCCCGATGGCGACGGGGTGCCCACCGCGTCAGAAGTAGGTGGACGTCTCGGAGTGCGCGGGGCAGTAGGTGGAACGGCCATGCCCATACCCTGCGCCATGCGTTCCAGCAGCGCACGAGTAGATCGTACATCCTCGCCCTGGTCCTCGATGGAGGTCTGGAGCGTGGAGATCTGGCGACCGTGGGTGGCCACGGTATCCGACATGGTAGCCAACGACGCTCGAAGCTTGCGGATGGCCTCCGGTTGCTCGAGCTGCTCATCAAAATTATTACTGCCCGTCGGGCGGGTAGAAACCAATTCCTGCAAGCGGTTGACAGTCTGTTGCACTCGTGTATCCTGGCGCGCACGTTGTGACCCATCACCTTCAAGGATTTGGGTAAGCGCGTTGGCCAGTTCCGTGGCTGGGGTCGGTGTCGTAGGTGTCGCTGCGGGTGTCGTAGCCGTGCCAGGTGCTGTTGCGGTAGGACCTGAGGTGGGGCCCTGCTGCTGGTTGCTGAGGATGGCCCCCGGGCGCGACATCTCACCGAGGGCTCCGATGTTCTCAATGAACGAGTTCATCTCCTGGGCCATGGAGGTGAAGGTCCCTGCACGCGGGGGAGGTGGGCCCTGCCAGTACTGACCACCACCATTGTGCCCCTGAAACCGCGGAGCACGAGGGCCCTTTCCTCTTCCGCCGCCCTTGCCATAGGGGCCCTGGTTGCCACCACGCCAGCTCATGGTGTCGGTAGCTAGCGTCTGCTGGGCGGCGTGGGAGGGGCGCGCAGGTAGGTGACCTTCGGCCAGGTGCGGAGACTTCTCAAGCACGGCAATGCCTTGGTCATAAACAGCAGCAAGGCGAGACGGACGGGGAAGTAGGTGGAAACTGGTAGAGTAAACCAAACGCAAGCATAGTTCAATGATACCATTCAGATGAGTCAATGGAGACACGTACCGCCCAATTCTTCTCATGATATTCTCGGGGCACCCCAATCTTAGGAAATAAAGCATATCAGAACTTAGTAAGACAATCCAGTTTTTCAGGTCGAGTTGGTGCTGGCCCCATCGATGCAGGCGCCCTTTAAGCTCGGCTCTCTGCAGTCGTAATTGGGTCTTGGTGAGGGCCCCTGCGAACGGACAAACCGACTTCTTGACAATCCTCAAGGGGTTCCCTTGGAACGCAAAGCTTTGATTTTTGTGGATGACCCAAACCTTAATCTCAGAGAAGTTTACATGGAGCTAGGCCTCCAGAAACTTGAGGACCTCCGTGTCTTCCCCAAACCGAACTTCATCTTCAATGTTAAACTTCACTATACGGCCGTAGACACGTTCAACATGCTGACAAAGACAGGCACGACAAATTCGGGGAGATGCGAGGAACAAATCATCAACAAAGCGGCCACGAGCAATCCTCTGACGATTCCGCGGGTGGGCCCGATCGCACAGCCACTCCGCTTCAGAAAGCACGGCGTGTAAGATCGCACCACTCAACGGGCCTCCAATGGGGATTCCTTGGCACTGGTGTAAGATAAGTCCCAGAGCCTTAAAATATCGCATTCCCATGAATCCCGTGAGGGCCCGCTTGAGGCTTCCAAACAATATAATAGTGCGATCCCAAAGCTTGGCATTGATAGAGCCCCCCAAGAAGACGTGGCTTCGCTTGCTATGGAGAATCGCGAAGGCCTCCTTGGGGGTCGCCTTCCGCAGTCTCTCAAACAAACGGTCTAGACAGCCCCAAATCGTGGTCGCGGGGATTTCCTCGTAGGCCTGCCCCGCGTCAGCCACAAGGGTACCGGGAGCTTCCATTGGGGTCCCACACCAGAGGCACTTAGGGTTCAGTGAGGCGTTTTTCTCTAGCTTCGCGAACTGCGCCACCAAATTCAGGGCGCCGTCCTCCAAGCCGCGGCACGCCCAACCTGGGTTCACGGTCTCCACTGCAAAGACCGCGGCGCGGCTCAAATACCTGTACAGGCGGCGAGAGGGAAACTTGGCAAACGAGCAGATGTTCCTGAAGCACGAGTGCTTCGGCTTCGCGCATTGGTGGCGCCCCGCCTCGGGAGGGCAGTCAACGTCCAGTCAACATTTTGCCTGTACAGTAGGGTAACAGTATGGAACATTATTTGGGGTGGCCTTTCCCTCCCTCCTTTGTAGTAGGCTTTTCGGGATTGTGCTATCGTAGAGGGGGCGGTACCAGTCCGTGACCGCCGACAAGGATGCAAGGCTAACCTGCCACCGATGCGGGGCGTAGGCAAGGATGCTGAGCCATCTCGCCATCATACACTTGGGGTCCACCATCCAGAGGCTGTTGGGGTCCTTATCCTCTAGCGCGAAGACCGCGTCGGAGTGCTCTTGGAGGGTCTTAAAGAACTTCTGGGAGGTATCCTGTAGATGCTGGTATCTGGGGGCCAGTCGTGGAGGCTCAGGGGCTCGTTGGGGCTGAAACCGAGGGAGAGCTGGAAGGAAAACATCATCCGTACGTCCCCAGAGTCCCATGCGCTGTGCCCCAATACGGCAAGACGTCCCCAAAAGTTGCGTGGTCAACATTCGGGTAGACATCGGGGTCTTCGCATTCAAAGACATCTTCTGCATGTCGAGGCCCTTAGCGGCCCATTCTAGATCCATGGCAGTGAAAATTTGAAGGGCAGTGAAATGTAATCGTTGACACGCCCGAGGAAGACTGTGGCAGGTCTTGCGGAGGTTCGGAATACTTTTGATCACGATCCGCGTCTGCCCGCGAAAGAGGCCTGCCCAGCCAGGTCGGTGCTGAGCTAGCCGTGCAAACACCTGCTGGATCCAACGAGATGCGGCGACCTTCTCTTGTTCAGAATGTACCTCAATCGTCGTCATTCCTGGGACTGGCAACCCCTGGGACTGTAGGAAGATTTGCAAGGATGTTTGAACTCGGACTTTATCTTGCCAATGGGGGCAAAGCGAAGCCAGGGACCAAAACACATAGGCGTAGTCATTATTCCCAGGGCGGGAGCGACACGCGAGGTCCCAGGAGATGCCCAGGTGGTGCCAACAAGCCCATCGTAGGAGTAGTTTCGTCATCTTTGGCTCATATATACCCAAAGGTCCCAGGATGCCTTGTTTTGAGTGTCGGTCCTGGATCAAAGTGATATAAAGCTCATCAAACGTAAGTCTCAAACGGTCTTGTCAATAATAACGTGTTGTAAGATACTTCTGATGCCCAGGGACTCTAGTGAGAAGGGAATTGATGCGCTCCTCCATCCAATGGGCACTCTCGGAGTGCGGCACAGGGCTATGGGACAAAGCTAGCCGACGGTCCCGTCGTCCTCGCCGACGGCGTGGGCCAGCTCGAACTCGTGCACTCCTGCGGCCCAACCGAACGTTGGGTTGGTTGTTGGCTGCCGGCTGGGCAAACATAATGCAGGCACTCTCGAGGCTCGAGATCTCGGACGAAGGAGCAATCAGAAGGAAGAAAAACAAGAACCAGCGCTTACATCCTGGAAATAGACCATGATAGCGACAAGCTTCTTTTACAAGTGAACTTTTTGGACTTGGAAGAGACCTCGGACATGTTCCCGAAAACGTCCAACACCCCCTGAGGCCTGCCCATGGGCCCTCGTGATACTTCCTTTGCCAATGTAGAGGACCTCGGAGCCTAACTGGTAGAGGTAACTGCTATTGAGCATCTTCGGGGGGTTCAGGCCTCGCAGGCCCATGTACTGAGTATGTAGGAACAGAGCTAGTTCAAGTGCATGTGGTAATCGTGCGGAATCTGGGCGAGCAAGGGCCTCTGTACACATAGGATGGAGGCATCGACAAAGTTGACGGGCCCGCCATCGTCGGCGTCTTCCTGCAATGAAGAGGCCACGAATCCGACACACGGACATCACTGCCGTTACGGCAAGAGCTAAAGCTGATATATCATGTGGGGCCCCTGGCTTGTCCATGAGAGGTAGCAGGGCACGTTGGAGATCATGAAGTCCATCAATAAAGACCGTCGAAGGTTGTGCCACGAGTACCTGCCAGAGACCCCCTGCAAATAACAGTGTTATTTCCTTCGGCACACGTAGGTCAGAAAACATAGGGTCTATAGGAATGTTCGAAGCCCAACTACAGAGACCATACATATCAGAATAAGCGCGAACACGTACTTGAGATCCCGTGAGGCCATCATATTGAAAGGGTCCGCGCCGACTCCGGAACTTGTGGACGCAACGGTTACCTTGGTCCTGGAGAGGGCTTCCGTGTACACCAGAGGCAAAACTGCACACCAGAATCCAGAGCATACTTCGTACATTGAGATGTCGAAAGCGGTGGTCTGGGTGCCGATGGCGAGGGCCCGCGCGCTCTCGATCGCGGGGAATGTCAAGTCGGGGGGGGGGGGGGGGGGGCATCTCCAATCGCGCCGCCGAGATCGATTCGGCCACCATTGCAGCACGGTCTCGGAAGAGAAGGTAGTACGCAGAGCCAAAATGTGTCTCCAGTCGCGCCTCCGAGATCGGTTCAGCCACCATTGCAGCCCGGTCTCGGAAGAGAAGGTAGTACACAGTTCCAACAAGCGTCTCCAATCGCGCCACCGAGATCGATTCGGCCACCATTGCAGCACGGTCTCGGAGGAGAAGGTAGTACGCAGAGCCAAAAAGTGTCTCCAGTCGCGCCGCCGAGACCGATTCGGCCACCATTGCAGCACGGTCTCGGGGGAGAAGGTAGCACACAGATCCACCCCACTGCACCGCCACAACCAAGAGACACGGTAGTTGGCCGCCATCACGGGCATTGGTGCGCACGCTCGGGAAACATTCCCTTGGCCGAGGAGGCCAAAGTCATTCATCGGGAAACTCGTACATAGAATAGATCGTGATATGAACATGAATACAGAACTGGCAAACGTGATATGTTCGGTTCCTTCTGACGCGGCTGCGGTACATGGGGACAGCTCGCCCCCACTCCGAACCCGCCGCGTACACACTTGGAAGTCCGGTAGAAGCTTATCGATAAGGTAGGTCGCCCTGTGGATCGTACGTGCCCTTGGAGCTCCTGGGGTCCGCGAGGTCGCCCTTGGGGTATCCTTCTGGGTCCTCAAGGGCCTCGAGAGAGATCGCAGAGCACCCAATACATATTTTATCACAGAGCAACCAACGAGAAGCAACTGTAGTATCATGGAATCGGCACGAGCCCACATGTGTGCGCCGCTCTCATCAGAGCGTCTTCAGCGCTAGCCTAAACCCGTGCCGTGATCGCCTGAAGCATAAACAGCTATGGTAGGATGTGAGATGTGCAGTGAAGCGTACTAAGAGAAAGAAACGCTCATGTAACTGCCCGAATTCAATTACTGAGCTCCCAATTGCAAACATAGCATTGCTATCTTCTGATCATTCAAACTGCAAGAAAGCACACACACACGCACACACACACACACACACACACACACACACACACACACACACACACACACACACACACACACACACACACTCACACACACACACACACACAAACACACGCGTCCCCAGCGCCAGAGTGGGACCCCCGCGCCGTGGCTCTCTGCCCCGAAGCTCCCCGCGCCCCCCGCGCCCCAGCGGGGGCCCCGCCCAATGCCCCCTCCGCCACGAACGCTCTATTCCGCGTCGCACACACACCCTTCCCCCGCGCCCCCAACGCCAGAGTGGGACCCCCGCGCCGCGGCTCTCTGCCCCGAGCCCCCCCGCGCCCCCAGCGCCCCAGCGGGGGGCCCGCCCACTGCCCCCTCCGCCCCGCGTCCCCAGCGCCAGTGGGACCTCCGCGCCGTGGCTCTCTGCCCCAAGCCTCCCCGCGCCCCCGGCGCCCCAGCGGGAGCCCCGCCAGCTGCCCCCTCCGCCACGAACGCGAAATTCCGCGTCGCACACCCCCCCTCCCCCCGCGTCCCCAGCGCCAGTGGGACCCCCGCGCCGTGGTTCTCTGCCCCGAGCCCCCCCGCGTCCCCAGCGCCCCAGCGGGAGCCCCGCCCACTGCCCCCTCCGCCGCGAACACATTTTTCCGCGTCGCACACACCCCCTCCCCCCGCGCCCCCAGCGCCAATGGGACCTCCGCGCCGTGGCTCTCTGCCCCAAGCCTCCCCGCGCCCCCAGCGCCCCAGCGGGGGGCCCGCCCACTGCCCCCTCCGCCACGAACGCGAAATTCCGCGTCGCACACCCCCCCTCCCCCCGCGTCCCCAGCGCCAGTGGGAACCCCGCGCCGTGGCTCTCTGCCCCGAGCCCCCCCGCGCACCCAGCGCCCCAGCGGGGGCCTCGCCCACTGCCCCCTCCGCCACGAACGCTTTATTCCGCGTCGCGACGCGCACCACCTCCCCCACCTCCCTCCCCGCGTCCCCAGCGCCCCAGTGGGGGCTCCGCCCCGTGCCCCCTCCGCCCCGACAATTTTATTCCGCGTCGCGACCGCCCCCGCCCCCAGCGCCCCCAGTTGGACCACCGCCCCGTGGCCCTCTGCCCCAAGCCCCGCCCAATGCCCCCTCCGCCCCGACCATTTTATTCCGCGCCGCGACGCACACCACCTCCCCCCCCCTCCTCTCCGCGCCCCCAGCGCCCCAGTGGGACCTCCGCCCCGTGCCCCCTCCGCTCCGAGCACTCTATTCCGCGTCGCGACGCGCGCCACCTCCCCCCCTCTCCCCACCTGGGATTTGGGCCCCGTTGCTGGGCCCCGAGGGGCGATGTCTTGCCCCCTCTTCCACCCTCCTCCTCCTCCACCTCCTCCCCCCCCCCTTCCATTTTGCGCAAGAGCCATGGCACGCGTGCCGCTCGTTTCGGAACCCAGGCAGTTGGCTCCCCCGGGCCTTTTTCAGGGATGGGCTGGCGTGGCCCCCGTGAGTTCTGAGGCGCTTCCTGCCAGCCCTCTCGACGCCCTGCCCGCCCTATGGCGACCTCCCGACCTCTCCCAGGCGCCCAGGAGGGTTCCGATGCGCCGGAAGGCCGCCCCAGGAAGCCCGAGAGGGCCTCCAGACGGCCACAGAGTCCTCCATGACGCCCCAAGAGGCGCCCAAGAGTATTCCCAGAAAGGCCCCAAATTGTCTGACGATTGCGGGGGTCTCGTCTTTTCCGTTTCCGGACGCTCCCAGACGGTCCAAGAGGCTTCTAAGATCGTTCCGCGACGGTCGAAGAGGCCCACAAGAGGGCGCCGAGACGGCTCAAGAGGCTCCCAAGGTAGCCCAAGAGGCTTCCAGAACGGCTCAAGAGGGCCCCAAAGACGCCCCCAAAGGGGTCTCAAATTTCCCAAAAAGGGTTCTTAGAGGGAGACACGAACAGACATTTCGAGATCCCCGCCCCCAGAGGCCCCCAGGAGGCCCCGAGATGCCCCCAACAGGTCCCCATGAGGCCCCAAGAAGACCCCAAGAGGCCCCCAGGAACCCCCAAGAAGCCCGCAAGGGGCCCCCAATAGCA